TGTCCAGGCTTAATTCGATTTAACGCTGCTAAATTCGACCTAAACTCGTAGTGTAGACCAGGCCTGAGAGACAGTAGCTATCTCGGTGGGAGAAGCCATCCCAATGACATAGCTCTGTCTACAGTGGGGGTTAGGTGAGTATAACTATGTGGTCAGGGGTGTGGCTAGAGAAGTTGGTAGTGTAGACCACGTCTTACTGAGAATCAAGCCTTCAGAACTCTATAGGGCCAGACATTCAGCTGGTGTAAAGTAGTATAACTTCATTGCTTTCAATGCAGCTATGCGGATTTACATGTGCTGAGGATCTTGCTTTATATTTGAATACATTCCCTAGATTTGAATGAAATGCCACATTGTAGATTTAGTTAGTACCTGCATTTGGTATTCCAGGACTGGTATTTCTTCTTCCTCTGTTGGTCCAAACTGACGGCGTGTGGCTGAGAAGCGAATGGCTATTGATAAGGCAAGCTTTAAATTAACCACAGACATGCCTATGATCATAACTCTACCACTGGACAAAGCCCCAAGAGAAGCGCCAAAACGTTGCTTGAGATCCTGAGGGAATAAAAGACACACTAAATGGGCAGGTTCAGCCATGCCATAGCTTCATAATTGCACTACCTGCAACATCAGAATCCTGGTAGTTATGCCAAATGTTATACTTTCAAGGAGTTAGCACCCATTGACTTTAATGGCAAATGCATGGCTAAAACCCCATTCAGCTCTGAAAATATAAGGGTACAGTTAATAGATTTGAAAAAAAAATACAAACAATTCCTTCATAGTATATTTGATAGACTGGATTCATTGCACATACAGTTCATTTCATACCTTAAATGAGCTAACGTATACTCCCTCAGCTGTGACATCTCCAGTTCTGTTCAATACGTTTTCTTTAGGTATCTTGACATTGTGAAACATAGCAAATCTGTTCAAGTAAATAAATATATTAACAATAAAATAGGAAGATTCATCACAACATAGCTTGGGTATATGCCCCAACAGACTGCCATAATGAATTAATGGCTGCATGAAGATTTCATGCACATCAGTGAACTAAAAATAATATTACAACACAGGTATTTTTAGGGTCAGATTCTGCCACAGAGAGGATGATGCCTGTGAGAATACAGGTCTCCACATAAAAAGGTTCTATGAAATGCAACCTGGGTAAGTTTTCTGTTACTCTTTTTTTTATATTAAATTTGTTTTGGTTTTTGGAAATAAATATTATGTCTTCAGGAAAGACCCTCACTGACTGCACCTGTATTTTGTTTCTGCTGAGTCATTCAACCAGCTAACATTTAAAATATCATGACCTGTGATTATGTTTAAAAGAAAGAGATTTTGCAGAAAGAAAAGCAATGAGAGGAAGGACTGTCTTATGGTTAAGACACCGGAGATGGACTTATGCAAGCAATTTCACTCTGTGCCTCAGTTTCCCATCTATATACAAATGGGGACAATGAAACCTTTGTCTACCGTGTCTCTTTTGAATCAGATTCTTACACTCATATTCAAGTCAAATCATGTGTTACTCCACAAATAATACCATTGAACTGAATGGCACACTCGTGACGTAAAATACTGCTCAATATAAATAAGGAAATCAGAATCTGGTTCTGAGTTTGTAAATTCTTTGGGGCAGGGACGGTCTATTACTATGTGTTTGTACAATCCCTAACACAACAGGGCCCTGAATTTGATCAAATATCTAACATCAACAAGAACAATGTAGAATCAACACAGTGAAAGGGAACTGGAAAAAGGCATTATTTGTACAGGAGCTCCAGCTATGATTTTTGCTCGCTGATGCGATGTAGCATCTTAAAAGAAATGAGTAGGAGAATCTTTTCTTAAGTTCTGACACCCAACGTAATATTGATAGAAGCTGCATAAACAGGACACATATTTTTCATAGAATCGTGTACTAGTCATTTTCAGCCAAATAGACAGTAAGGGCTGGCATGGTATCATAACACCAGCTCCATTTCTGAATATCTCAGCATCTAATATTGCTTGAAAATCTGTATTAATAATCAAAGCAAATTCCTCCTGCTTGCCAATACAGGCAAATATATTTAATAGCATGCGAGAGAGCCAGATCTTTCACATCAATAAATTATATAAGCTTTGCAATACTACATGTACTTTAAAAATATGAGTAATTTCCAAGGAGACATATCTGCATATTGTATTAATTCTGCTTCAGAGAGATAATGCATTTTTGACTGAGCAATATATACTCATACAAATGGTTGAAATGTGCAGTCTAACTGAGCATCAGATTCTTGAACCCTTACTCTGCATATAGACCCACTGATTTTGGTGGGACTACTCACAGAGTACGGTACTACTCGGTGAGAGTGAGGGTTGTATTTACAGAAATCCATCTTGGACAATGGTTTTGGATCCTCTACAAAAAAGGTGGTTTTTTTTTTAAGATAAAAGATCTTTTGGTTTATATGCAACCCTCTACTCTCCCCACCCCTGAAATAAAACCATCAAAGCTAAAAAAAACTCCCCAGCAGCCTGTCCCTGCCTGTCCCTGTTAGTGACAAAGTGTACAGGCTGTGATACTAGGGCCTCCTCTTGTAAACACTTACTGGGAGCATGTAATGCTTATTACTACTGGGAGCTGTCGTATTGAAGTGAATGACAATACTCCCAGTAGTAATTTCAGTGGAGAAGACTTTAACCTATCTCACGCACCCACACAGGTTCTTAATACCCTTAATTCCCTATATGGGCTACCTGCATTCCTTGTGCAAGCACAAGAGGGAGGGCAGATTCTAGAGGCCAACAGCTAGTTTCCACTCACAGAGGTGGGCAAGTTTCAGAGTAACAGCCGTGTTAGTCTGTATCCGCAAAAAGAAGAACAGGAGTACTTGTG